AGGGTGGGGGGAACGGGACTCAGATGACTGGGGCACAACAGACAGATGTTGCTGTCTGATTGTGCATTTTAAATCTGTAAGGGAACAGCAACGGCAATGGATCAAATTGCACATCTGATCACAGCCTATGATTTGAAATCCAAGCCCTGGATAGCACAGGCTAGCCTGACCTCATCAGATCTTGGAAGTTAAGCCGGTGAGCCCTGGTTAGTACTTGAATTGAAGACCACCGAGGAAGTCTAGGGTTGCTGCTCAGAGGCAAGTGATAGCAAACTACCTCTGGATGTCTCTTGCCTTGAAGACCCTACAGGGTCACTATAAGTTGGCTGTGGTTTGATAGCAAAAAAGAGGGAGAAAATATGTTTTAAGTACCAAAATGCAACAAGGTAAGGGGGGGGGAAACAAAGTTAGCTCCCTCATCTGCACACTTCAGGTTTGTTGAAAAATAGAGCACTCCATTATTTTACACATGAACAGGTGGACTCAAATATATATGGTCCCTAAATGGCTGCATTACTTTTAAATACAGTAAATATGTCTGAGAGGTCTCAGATTCTGAATCACCAGTTCTCTCATGTACTTTTCCATGTCACTTGTGGGAAAGGATTTAATCTTCTGTTATCCACCCCCCAGTTCACAGGCAAGCAGGTTGCTTATTGCCAGGAGGGGTGAGGCTAGCACTTGCCCATCTCCCCCCCCCCTTCCATCTCTGTAGACCTCCCTGCCTGCTAGCAAATATAAGCAGGCCTTTTTTATAGAAAAAGCCCAGCAGGAACTCATTAGCATAATAGGCCACACCCAACAGCAGAAATTCATTTGCTTATTAGGACACACCCCTGACAGCACAGCTCATTAGCATATTAGGCCACACACCGCATGTTCGCAGAAGTGTGGTCATCCAGACACACTCACCTTTTGCTTCTTATTCTGTTTACCTTGTTTGTTGTCAAAACCCAGGGCTTTTTAAAAGCAGGAACTCCTTTGCATGTTAGGCCACACACCCCTAATGTAGCCAGTCCTAATGAGTTTCTGCTGTTGGGTGTGGCCTATTATGCTAATGAGTTCCTGCTGGGTGTGGCTAACTTGGGAGCCAGCCGAAACTTCGTTCCTGTGTGTTCCTGCCCTGAATATAAGTAAAGTCTTTTCTTGTTTCAGGTAGTCTTTTCATTACATGGGTGGAGCAAACATAGCAAAAGTCCTCACTGCCCTGTCATACAGCATGTATAAACCATGTCTTTCTCCCAGCCTGGCAGTCACTGCTTTAGAAAATGAATTGGTGTACACAATCAATAAATATTTTATTTGTTATGATGATATATCGGATGAGATTAATGCACAGAGAGAGACATAATAACTAGGAGTGTGTTCCCCCCCCCCCCCCCCGGGGTTTTTTGGGCCTCATTGAACCCAAAAAAAATCAGTATTTCACAATATTCCCAAATCCCAGTATCGGTATGATGTTGGGATTCAGGCAATATTTGGGTTTGCTGAATTTTTTCAGCTCCATTATACCCTATGGTGGTCATTATAGTCAAGGGCCCCCTAGTCTATAATGGCGAATCAATCCAGGGGGTTTTTGGAGCCCAGGGGCCTGTTTTTTGAGGTAGAGGCACCAAATTTGCAACATAGCTGCTGGTGTCTCTCCTCAACCCCCCTCCCCAAGTTTCAAAAAGATTGGACCAAAGGGTCTAATTCTATGGGCCCCAGAAGAAGGTGCCCCCATTCTCCATAATTTCCAATGGAGGGGGGAAAGGCATTTAAAGGGATGCAGCACACAAGTGAACTGCAAAGGCATTTATAGGGACTGCAGTCCATTTAAATGCCTGAGAGTTCTCTCCGAAGACATGTAAATGGACTGAGAGCCCTCTAAATGCCTTGTAACTGCAGCTATCCAGCAGCCCTGAAAATTCCTGAATATTTTCGGGGGTTCTTGCGGACCATTTTTGGATAGCCGAATCACCAGCTCCCTCAGTGATCAGCTGAGAAAATACCTGATAAATACCAATAAGGAATTTATCGGGGGGGGGGGGGGGGTGCGCCAGGTTATGCACATACCCCTAATAATAACTTACACAAATAAGTCCTATGCTTATAGAGAATTAGAAAACCATCCCAAAGTCTGAGGTACACATTGATTGGCAAAAAGTGGAAAGCACAAAAGTGCCAATTGAGATGATTTTGTCTGGTGCATAGATGGGTTAACTGTTCTTGCTGGATGCTGTCCCTGTCGCATACAGCTCTGCAGACTTAGTCAGCTTGCCGCCCCAGAAAATGAAACACAGCAGCGAGGCAACAAAATAACAGTCATATATTGAAGGCTTCCTACTGTTCCCAAGTATTAGAAACCAGAAGAGAGTCAGCATAATTTAGTAGTTGGAATACGACCTCAGCCTAACCTACCCCACAGGGTTGTTGTTACAAGAATAAGGTGGAGGGAGAACAATGTGATAAACTGCTTTGAGTTCCCAGAAGTGAGAAAAAATGGGATATAAATTTTAAAAATAAAATATAAGTAAAATAATACTATTTGGATTTGGAGTATTTATGGTGTTGACAAATAGGCTTATGCCAGATCTTGATTAGTAAATGTACAGCTGCACATCCCTAGTGTATTCTTTAATTTGAGTTTACTAAGTTTTAATATTATTCATGTTCTTTGTTCCTGTGGTTAAGGAAACAATGCTTTTACTTTTCCAGTGGCTAGGTGCTTTTCCTTAACTGAGTTTAATTATGTTTCTAATCTGCAGCATGGACATAACAGCTTTTGAAAACTGCTGTGAAATCCACACACAAATGTGTTATTTATGTACCTTAATATTTACATTTTGCTGCTATCACATTCCTTCTGTAAGGAGCTCAAGTCCTTCCTTCCTTCCTTCCTTCCTTCCTTCCTTCCTTCCTTCCTTCCTTCCTTCCTTCCTCTATCCTCAAAACAACTCAGCACAGGAGGTTTAACTGAAAGAGAATCTTCACTACCATAATTCAAGTTGCAGAAATTACATTGCCTTTGGAAGCTGGATCTGGAACAGCTTCCATAGTTATAAATTGCACAATCAATATGATGTGAACTGAAGGACTGGTGGGCTAAATGTGGGTTAACTGTGACAAGGATTAGAGATGAAGGAGAAACTGCCAGTTGCCACACCACTTTCCCCCATGGAAAACAACCTGTATTTCTAAAGGGATGTCAAGGAGGCGTCTGCTGGGCCGGAAGCTTTTTGCAGGCAGTTTGAAAATGAATCTAATTGTAGGACTCAGAGAACTTGGTGTACTTTCTGTAGCAAGGCTGTAGTCCTAGATTTATGTTAACAGTGTACACACTTTGCATATTTGCAGAAAATTACCCATTGGAGACAATATTTTCTGATTGCAATATTTAGGGGTTTGCTGAAAGGAAGCATTAGGATGAAGAAGTGGCTGAGGGAATGGTGTCAGGGCAGAAGGAATAGGAACCACACAAATACTTTTTTCTTCAAAATTGCATGGCCTAGAAATGTGTTGGGCTTTCAAAATGAAATCTGGCCTACCCCAGAAGCCAACAGTGTAACAGATTCTGAATTTTGTGCTTGTGACTCATAGAAATAGGAAGCTGGGGTAAAGTAAAAATATCTGCTCTGGTTACATTATGCCTTCAAGTTCCCTTTCTGCCTTGATAGGTATACTGGGTGGTATATTGGGACAAAAATTTCCTTGGTCAGCAATGGAAGCAGATTGTTCTCTATAAATTTGGAAAAAGAGAATATCAAGTCTAAGAAAGGATAGTCTTCTTCGACCTCTGTCACCAAAAGATAAACGTAATGAAGCGTTAGGGGGTGCATTTGTCTTGAGAGATTCTGTTCATGGGATAAGAAGTACTAATCTTCTACTCTGCATTGTAAAAGATGGAGGGGGGGGAGCCTTGTCAACCATTTTACTTGCCAGCAACGATGTCAGTAAATGGCAATAATCGGTAGTGCTGAAGAATTATCTGTAGAATGGATAGTATGGAAGAAGCTGCCCTCTTAAATATTTGATTGTCAGCTATATGAAGCAGCAGGCAATGTAGCCTCAACTACTTTCTGTTTGTTGCCTCTGGCTATTCTGTATGTTAGAAGAGTCATTCCTAATCAAGATACCTAAGAAGAATAAAACTGAATAGTACGGCTGTGTCATTTGGGAATGCAGAGACAAAACATGAGCCGAGCTGAAAGAAGGTAGCAGCGCTGAGTGCTAAAAAGGAGGATTGCTTGCAATGGGAAAGAATGGAATGAGGAAGCAGTGGGAATTGGCCACTGGGTGGCAGTAAATGGAAGCTGGGCTGGGAAAAATGGACCCTTTAGAGGGAGGTCTGGGAGATGGAAGGAAAGGGGCTGTAGGCACAAATAGAGGGAGAAGGGAAATGGGAAGCTAGAGGTGGGAGAAGTGGGGGCTAGAGCACAAGAAGTAAGGGCTGCAGCAAACATTTGAGAGCACCAATAACAAAGTCCTGGTAAGGATGGATGGCTGAGATTAGGGAAGAGTGAAACTGGTAGGCACATGGAATGGAAGTTAAAGATGGAGCTGATGAGAAAGAATTGATGAGGTTGATTTAAGAAAGAGGAGGGCCAGTATCAGGTAGAGCTATTAGATGATCTTGTCTAAATAACTGAGGCAATTGCTCTGTAGAACTGTACAAACTTTATTATTCCAGGACCACTCCCCACATGACCACTTCAGTGGTCTACAACATCATATTTTTTAAGTGTAAAGATTCACGGTAAATGCAACTAACAGGTGTTTGAACACAATGTGTCATGGAGATAACTTTGTTGTAGAGCTGAGATCAACTCACTGGTAAATCCAGATTTGTTGGTGCCCAATGTATGCAATGATCCTTGTATTCTCAGTGCCATCTAATCCCTACCTGCTGGAAAAGCACGTCTTTTGTGAGTTCTTCCCACTCTGTTGTCATATCTTTCTGTTATTGCCTTTTCTGACCCTGGTTTACTTTTCTTCTGGGTTGCAGGGACTCCGTGGTGGACATGGGCAGAGCTCTGACAAACACCCTGGTGCTGTCCATGGTGCTGGGCAGTTCAGCTGTCCTAATGGATACTTTGTCACCAAGCCCTGGGGAACCTGTGGTAAATGTAGCTGTGGTTTTTGGAGGCTCTTCATACCCTCTCCACATACGCAGTCGGCTGACACAACAGAGCTTCCTGGACATCCCACTGGAGATCCACCCTGTCACAGTGGTAGTGAATGACACCAACCCAAGCACTCTCTTGACTCAGATCTGTGACATACTTGCCAACACGAAGGTCCATGGGATTGTCTTTGAGGACAACATTGGTACAGAGGCCGTGGCACAGATCCTTGATTTCATCTCATCCCAGACTCATGTACCTATCATCAGCATCAGTGGAGGATCAGCTGTGGTCCTGACACCCAAGGTGAAACCTCTTTGTTGTTCCGGATGATTGGGCTGGGAATGGGAAAGGCAAGATATTTATAAAAGCGTCTTATCTTAATGTTGCCAACCAGCCTGTAGCAATTTGTACCAATTAAATATCTGGCTCCTGTTAAACAACGTGTAACTGTTCAGGATTTACTCCAGTCTGACAATTAACCGATAGATACAGGTTGTGAAACAAACAAGGTGAACAGCCAGAACTAGGGCTAGGGAACCTGGCAGACAAAAGGAATCCATCCAGCCCATTCAAGCTGTAGGGATTCCAAGAGGGAATGGGTTAAACAGACGAGGCAGTGAGTCCAAGAACAAAACTTTGGTATCAGGAGGCTGAGCTAGCGGAGGCTGTTCCATCAGCATCTCTTGCCTTTAGGGTGCTTCCACTCAGGTATGGGCTGTGCTTCTGCCTAATAGCAAGTGGAGGTCCTGAGGCAGTCAAGTGTAATGGCCAGCTTTTCACCTCATTCTGATGGCTTCTCATGAGGAATACCAGCATGTTTTTAGTGACTTTGTTCTTGTGTTTGGAACAGCAGCCAGAGATGCAGGATTGTAGTTGGTGAATAATTTCTGGGGTAGAGACAAAGCGGTCAGAAAACTCATACCTGCTGAATTCCTCCATGCCAGGCATCTGCTAAAAGGCACATGAATAGTGCAAAGACAACGCTTGGAAATTCTCCTTCCTATTGTTCCAGGTGACACTGTTTTGTGAGGGGGTGGGGTCCTGTTAGGTTCCTGTTCTAGAGCATAGAGTGTGCAAACTCTAGGTTTTCTGCTACTAAAACTGTTTTGGTAGGACAATGGAAATCAGATAAACCTCTTCTGATTACAGAATGTCTAATAATTGTCTTCTGTACTACTGAAGTAGAGAAAATTGAATGTCTTGGTTCACTTGGAAGCTGTATGGCCAAGGACTTTGCCAACAAGTGATGTTTGTTCACCAATTTCTAGTCTGATTTTATAAGTAAATACCAAGAAATTACTTGAGTCTTTCTGGTGCAGCAAATTCCAATATTAAGAATAAGCCATCCTGCATCCCTTTAGAACAATTCTGATGAGCCTCAGGCAGGCAAGGGTGGATCCAGTCCCACGCTTCAGCTTCATCCTAGCCAAGCCATGTCTGCATCTTAAATCATCCACTCACGGCACATGCAAATAGATGGCACTGGCTGCTGTGGGGTACTCTGGTTTCTTACAGGTGGACTGTGCACTGGGTGATTATTTTTAGCTTGCTCACCTGTAACAGAGTGTCATTGGTGGTTACTGTCAACTGCTCATAGGAAAATGTGCAAGTTTTTTTCACTTTCTCTTAAGCCATGTTCACAGCCATTGCAATTTGGTTTATTTATATAAAACTGGCTCTGGATTGTTATGTCTGATCTTTATCTGAGGAAAACCCTTTAAGACATGATTAGGAACAATTAAGGTCGTGCTTGGATCAGCCTTATCTCATTTGTCAGGCCTCATTAATGCTCATTCTCATGTCAACTTTTGTGCCATAAAATAATCCAGGGAAGTGTCCATGGATGACTGATTACAAGTTCTGTCTTCCCAGTGGAAATGGATCTGGATTTTTAACAAGACATTGCTACTGGGCCTTCCCAAATTAAACCGTGCCTTCTAGAAGGCCCAGTGGCTAATTCACTCACATGGCATCCCATGAAGGTGACTTTAAATTGATCCCTGTGGTGTCTACTTCTACACAACAAGCAATTCATTCCTCACAGTCTCTCACTTGAGGTTTTATTGTCACCATGCCACCACAAATACTCTAAGGTATGAGTCTGTGGCACTATGTGGACTGGAAGTTCCTCTATGTGATCAGCTTCTTTGGATAAACAATTTACTAATCAGATGCAGATGCCACAGAGACTGCAACATGGCCAGTTTCGCATGTGCACTTGTGGCATCTGAATTATGTGGAAACAGCTACTTAGACATGTGTTACATTTGTGCTTCCTCCATTGTAACACAGAGTACTGGAAATGTGTTTCTCATCACTGGCTGCTGCTGAATGACTTCAAGAAAATTACTGCACATTAGGGGGAAGTGGAAATTCAACACAGGGTTGCTATTTTCAGCAGCAGCCCTCTGTACATTCTCACATATAATTCTGCCCTGCCAATATATTGTAAATCACACTATTGTGATGGAGAAGCCAGCATTAGCTCTCCATGGTGCTGCTTGTACTAGATTTTTTGGGGGGAGGGGTTATATGTGTATGTGTGTGTGTGTGTGTGCGTATGTGTGCACCTGGAAGTCATGGCGACCTCTGATGACTGACCCCTACTGGGGGCCTGGAGGATATTCAGAGAGGTGGCTGAATATGGCCTGCCCCAGCTCTCGCCTCTGGTATTTCAAGGAGGTCTCCCATCCAAGAGTCAACCCTGCTTCACTTCCAAGATCTGACAAGATCGGGCTTGCCTGGGCTATCCAGGTCAGGGCCTGCTCATACTAGATTGTTGGAAAGCCTTTTGGGTTTTTTAAAAAGAGAACAATAGGTTATCTTTAGCAGTTCTGAAGTACCCATTATCAAAGCCACCTTATGTGTAAAAAGGTAAAGGTAAAGGTTCCCTTGCTCGAAAGCCAGTGAAGTCCGACTCTAGGGTTGCGGTGCTCATCACCGTTTCAAAGCCAAAGAGCCAGCGCTGTCCGAAGACGTTTTCCGTGGTCATGTGGCCGGCATGACTAAACACCAAGGCGCACGGAATGCTGTTACCTTCCTACCGAAGTGGTACCTATTTATCTACTTGCAATTTTTTGCTTTCGAACTGCTAGGTTGGCAGGAGCTGGAACTAGAGACGGGAGCTCACTCCATCATGCGGCACACTCAGGCCTCGAACTGCTGAACTACCGACCTTCGACAGCCTGCAGTTCAGCGTCTTAACCACTTGAGTCACCGCAGCTCCTACCTTATGTGTATCAATTGGTTTTTTCTAGCATCTCAGCAGTGTAACCGCAAGTGATGTCTTTGACCTACTGTTCATGTGTGCAAGAAAGGCTAATGCGGTAATGGCCATATCATATTCCCTCCCTCCTCCCCCAGCCACCCATCCATTACGTGTATCAGTAGCAGGTACAAGTACTGCATAGATTACACACAAGGGAGTCTTTCTGAGTATCCACTGTGTACATTTTTCAGGAGGCAACTGGAAATACTTTAATGCATGTGAAAGCATGCTCAGGTTTCCCCCAGTCTATTTTTATGGGAACACTTCATTCAAAATGACACTTTGGCACTATCAAGCTACAAAGAGAGCAGTCAAAAAATTATCTGATATCTGAATCCAATCAACAGTTGGACATTTTATTTCCTTACAAGAACCATATGTGTATGTTGTTAGAGTATCTACATACTTTTATGTTCTGTTTTTCACTTGTTATGTTGATATTTATCTGTTAATATATTTTAATGTTTGCACAGCTATTAGATCTAGATATCTGAATGCTTTATTTCACTGTTTATGGGTTGTTAGCAGCCTTGAGCCCCTATTGTGGTAGAAAGGTGGGATAAACGTATTTTAACAAATAAAGACATATTGTGAATGATGGAAAAACCTTGCTCAGTTTTTAATATTTTAATATAAAATGTCACTAAAATATAATTAATGTTATAGTGTTACATTCTATAACATGAATGGTGTCTTTCTTTATAATGATAGCATAAATCATCATTTGTGGAATGGGTGGTTCCTCACTGCAACCTTTTTGCATGACTGAAAGATTTCTTTTCTGTAGGGCTGATTCTATAGTGTAGCACTATATTAACCATAAAAATGTATCCCCACAAGCAAGATCCTGCTATATGTTTACTTGGAAGTAAGCCACTTTTAGCAAAGTGTTCATCTTCTCCCAGATTCTTTTTTGTTTCTTTTTTATCCTCATTACATACTTCCTATTCTCTTTCACGGTTGGCTAGTTCTCTTGGGGAAATCATGAATTTATCAGTTTCTGTTGCTTTAGGGAGATGGTTGGCTTAACTACAGTGTTTCACTTTTGTAACCATCCAAATAAACTGGTCATTTCCCCCCCCTTTAATTTTACTGTAGTTATAAATCATAATAGCATAATTTTCAGCTGCACCTCCCTTGCAGGGGGTAAATAGGAGCCCTGTTAGTTGCAGCTCCCTGACTTTGGAACATCCTCTCTTTGGAGACCTGCCTGGTGTAAGTGCAGCTGAAAACATAACTATTTGATCATTTTTTCCTCTTTTCCCTCTGTTGATGAATAATTCTTTATATCTGGCCATTGATTGCTGAATGACTATTGCTTTTTAAATATCTTAGCAACTTTTTTTTCTGTTCTGTTTTAATGCTCTGATTGGATTATTAAGCTCTGATTGATGAGACACTCCTAGAATAGATTACAAAGTTCTCAAAGAGATGGGACATGGTGGTCATGGGAGATTTCAATTACCCGGATATCTGTTGGAAGTCCAGCTCTGCTAAAAATGAAAGGTCCAATAAATTCCTGACTTGTCGTGCTGACAACTTCATTTTCCAGAAAGTGAAGAGGAAAACAAGGGGATCTGCTATCTTGGACTTGATTCTTAACAACAGGGAAGAACTGGTTGACGAGGTGAAAGTAGTGGGCACCCTGGATAATAGTGAACATGTAATTTTGGAATTTACAGTCTTGGGGAAGGTAATAGCTGTACATAGCCAGACATATAGGTTGGACTTCAGGAAAGCAAATATTGACAAGCTTAAAGTTATGCTGGGTAGAATCCCATGGTCAGAAATCCTTAAGGAGAAGAGAGTTCAAGGGGGATGGAAGTTTCTTAAAAGTGAAATACTGAAGGTACAATCACAAACAATTCTTATGAGAAGGAAAAATGGGAGGAGCCTAAAGAAGCCAAGGTGGCTCCATGAACAGCTTTCTAAAGACCTGAGAAATAAAAAGGTCTCATTCAGAAAGTGGAAAGAGGGCCTTATACACAAGGATAACAAATAATCAGTGCTTGTAGAAAGAGAGTTAGGAAAGCTAAAGCTCAGTATGAGCTTAGGCTAGCAAAAGATGCTAAAAACAAAAAAACAGGGTTCTTTTCTTATGTTCGAAGTAAGAAAAAGAGCAGGGGACAGGAAAGTGAAATTGTAACAGGTAATGAAGAGAGGGCAGAAAGGCTCAATTCCTACTTTTCCTCAGTCTTCTCTTGCAAGGGAAATGGGGCTCAATATGACAAAAACGGAACACACGATAAGGGAAGGGAGTTGCAGCCTAGGATTGGCATAGGGGTATTACATAAACACCTAGTTTCTTTAAATGAAACTAAGTCCTCAGGGCCAGATGAACTGCATCCAAGAGTACTAAAAGAACTCACAGATGTAATTTCAGATGTGATTTTTGAGAATTCTTGGAGAACAGGTAAGGTGCCAGAAGATTGGAGGCGGGCAAATGTTGTCCCCATCTTCAAGAAGGGGAAAAAGGAGGATCCGGATAACTACTGACCCGTCAGCTTGATGTCTATACCTGGGAAAGTTTTAGAACAAATAATCAAAATCCTTGAGCATTTAGAAAGGACAGCTGTGGTTACTAAGAGCCAACATGGGTTTCTCAAGAACAAGTCATGTAAGATTAACCTTAACTCTGTTTTTGAGAAAGTCATTACCTTGCTGGATCAGGGGAATGCTGTAGACATAGTTTGTCTTGATTTCAGTAAGGCTTTTGATAAGGTTCCACATAATATTCTTGTTGACAAATTGGAAAAATGTTGTTTGCATCCTATGGCTTTTAGGTGGATTTGTAACTGGTTGACAGGTCGCACCCAAAGAGTGCTTGAATGGTTCCTCATCTTCTTGGAGAGGAGTGACAAGTGGAGTGCCTCAAAGATCTGTCCTGGGACCTGTTTTGTTCAACATCTTTATCAATGATTTGGATGAAGGGATAGAGAAAACGCTTTTCAGATGATACTAAATTTGCAGATGATACTAAATTGGGAGGGGTAGCAAGACAGAGTCAGGATACAAGATGATCTTGACAGGCTGCAAAACTGGGCTAAAACAAATAAAATGAATTTCAATGGGGATAAATGTAAAGTTTTGCATTTAGGTAGGAAAAATCAAATGCATAATTGTAAGTTGAGGGAGACTTGTCTTGGTAGTAGTATGTGCGAAAAGGATCTTGGGGTCTTAGGAGACCATACACTGAACATGAGTCAGCAGTGTGATGTGGTTGCTAAAAAGGCAAATGCGATTTTGGGCTGTATCAACAGAAGTATAGTGTCCAGATCACACGAAGTGATGGTACCACTTTGCTCTGGTTAGACCTCACCTAGAGTGCTGTGTTCAGTTTCAGGCACCACAATTTAACTAGGATATAGACAACCTGGAACACATCCAGAGGAGAGCAATGAAGATGGTGAGGGGTCTGGAGACCATCCTATGAGGAAAGGTTGAAGGAGGTGGGTATGTTTAGCCTGAAGAGGAGATAACTGAGAGGTGATATGATAACCATCTTCAAGTACTTGAAGGGCTGTCATATAGAGGATGGTACAGAGTTGTTTTCTGTTGCCCCAGAAGGTTGAACTAGAACCAGTGGGTTGAAATTAAATCAGAAGAGTTTTCGGCTAAGCATGAGGAAGAACTTTCTGACAGAGCGATTCCTCAGTGGAACAGGTTTCCTCGGGAGATGGTGGGCTCTCCTTCTTTGGAGGTTTTCAAACAGAGGCTAGATGGCCATCCAACAGCAATGTGGATTCTGTGAACTTAGGCAGATCATGAGAGGGAGGTCAGGAAGGGTTGCCCCAGTGCTTAGTTCTCGTGGCCCTTTCTTACATGCCCAGGGAAATGCTGATCACCACTTTGGAGTCAGGAAGCAATTCTTCTCCAGACTGGTTTGGCCAGGGATCCTGGAGGTTTTTTGTCATCTTCTGGTCATGGAACAGTGGACACTGCGGGTGTGGAAGGGGAGGTATTTGTGAATTTCCTGCATTATTGGACCAGATGACCCTGGAGGCCCCTTCCAACTCTATGATTCTATGTTTCTATGATTAGGTTTTATACTCTAATTAGATTTTTACTTTAATATTTTAATATTTGTATTATATATGACTGTTTATTGTAAGATGTTCTGGGTCCAGTTTTCAGGGTATAAATGCTTTAAGCAAATACATTATGAAATAATAGGAAAATTAAACATAAATTAGCAGTGACCTAGGCCATGTAGAAAGTGAAAAAGTACAGGACTTTATCCCCCCCCCCACATGGAAGTTGATAATTTACAGTTGATTAATGAAAGCTGAGAGATACCTGGCCCAGTGCAAACTGACCAGGTACAAGAGAAACAAGAAGTTATTTATTTATTTAAATATTTATGTCTATTTTTGCCCCCAATGGGAAGCAAAAGTGACTTAAAGTATCATTCTCCCTTCCTACCTGGTCCCCAATGGCCCTATAATGAATGCTGTTGCATTTGTCCCTGTGTGCCCCATGTGATTAAGAACTGCAGCCACCTGGGGGAACATGACAGGTGAAGGTTAATAACTAGCACATTCTCATGATGCATGATTGTCTCACTCCAGAGAAGCTAGTAATATGAATGTAACTGGGAATTAAATTATTCTTGCAAAGCAGACTTCGTAGAAATTTTTAGGGCTACTTTCAGAAGTAAAGTACTACTCAAGATTTATACAAGTCTTGCTGAAAGTTGATAAAGGCCTGGAATTCTGCCATCCATTAAAGAAAGCTTAAATGTCAGAACTTACCCAGTTTTCCACCACCATTTTCCGAAGTATTATAATGGCCGTACCAATTATTCAGACATATTAAATGATGTGGTGCACTGTAAATTCCCTTTAAGTGGATATATTGAGGTGTGGGATTACGTTATGTCTGTCCTTGTGCTTAAAATATGTAGTGTTTGGTTTTAAGAAAAGGGGAAAGCAGGAATCAGAACTGGTCAGGATTTATTACAGATTGTGCTGCTTTTTAGCATGCTCACCTGCTTGCGGATGTCTTCTGTGCTGTGCTGAGGGTTGCAAAGCCAGCAGAATGCCTCGAGTCTAAACTAGTGGAATGCTCATTTTCCAAGGAAGAGTCTTCAGAGTCTTGGCTCACCTAAGTTTCATCATAGTTATATATTTTGTTCATTTTCATTGAGTCTTCTTGGCTGCAGATAGTTACTGTAGGATTATTTTTTCTTCTTCTAAATTAACATCCTATGTTTTTTGTTTGCACAAGAAATGCTTGTCTTCTGTTAGCATCTCAAATGCCAGGACACATCTTCACTACTAATTGATCTAATGCCAACTCTTCGTATTGGACAGGTCTTTTGAATGTACATACAACTTTCTGCAAAAGCAGGTTTTTGCAAATATGTAAAGGATGAGTGCAAGTCAATTAAGAACTACTGATGCAAAAGACAGATGGAAACAAAGATGGAAACAAACCCAGTGCAAGGGTGATATTGATAGAAGGCAAGCATAGACCGAAAAGCAGAGAGTTTAAAACAGTAAATTCTGCAGGCGAATGTTTCCTTTTTATTTTAATACTATAGAAATTAGAAATTATGACGCTGAGAGTGAGAATATATGACCTTATTATATTGGTTAATTGGTGAGGAAAACTGTCATATTGCATGAAATGTTGAATACTGGAGAATGTGCAGGAGGTTACATTAGAAAAACAGAGGAGGACATGAAGGTCCCTGATTCATTACTCGTCTGTGGCATTTCCCATTGATTTATTTAGAAAATTGTGTGATGGATGTTTGAACAATAAATCTGTGGAAGATCTTGCTTTTTGGGTATGTTGATATGTCTGCACAGCATGGGATAGATGTTAGTGAAAGAAACAAATAAGCATCAGGAAAGATATTTAAATACTGTAAATAAAACACCCAAATTGGGAGGAAATACTGATACAGAACATGAGTGGTTGAAGCAGGACCGCAGAGTGGCAGAAGTTGTTCCCACCCTTCTAGCTTCCCCCCTCCATCACAAGCAGCATTTGGGAGGTGTTTTGGGCTGCAGCAGGATGGGGGAGGCAGGAAAGTCATGCTCTGCAAGTGGAAATCCTTCCACCCACAGAAAAATTCCAGTGGATCCAAGCCAAAGACTTTATGTTTAGAAGAGTTGTATGGATTATAATGTGGTGAGTGGAAACGGAATGACAAATGGAAATGGATTTGATGCACAGAATGAGTTCTGCAGAGCTGAGGAATCTCACGTCATGAGCAGGTGTCAAAGCAGAGACCAAAGCCCAGTGGCTGACCTCTGAGCCGTATGCTGTAGCAGCCAGTCCTGTACTGGAAAGGGCACGGTGATCTAAGGCTATTTCTAAGTCTGCGAAAGTAGCTTACAGAAAACTATAATTGCTTATTTTTTAAAAAAACAACAACAAAAACAATTATCCATACATTTTTACTTGCTAATTCATTCTTTCCCCCTCTTGTAGGAACCCGGTTCTGCATTTCTACAGTTGGGTGCCTCAATCGAACAGCAGATTCAGGTGATCTTCAAAGTCTTGGAGGAGTATGATTGGAGCTCCTTTGTTGTTATCACCAGCCTATACCCAGGATACAATGTCTTTCTGGATGTGATACAGTCCTTCACCGATGCCAGCTATTTTGGCTGGGAGATGCATGAACCCCTGACCTTTGAGATGACTCAGGATGGAAGTGATACTAGAATGCAGAGATTGCTGCGTCAGATAGATGCTCAGGTGATGATTGTGTACTGCTCAAGGGAGGAGGCAGAATATCTCTTCCAAGTGGCAGAGCAGGTCGGCTTGATTGGACCTGGCTATGTCTGGATTGTGCCTAGCTTGACGGTGGGGAGCATGGATGTCCCACCTGACTCCTTTCCTATTGGCCTCATCAGTGTGGTCACCGAGAACTGGAAAATGAGCCTAAGGCAGAAAGTCCAGGATGGCGTGGCTATCATTGCCCTGGGAGCAGAGAGCTATTTCAAGACCTATGGCTATCTCCCGATGGTGGGCAGAGACTGCAAGACACCGCCCAGTGCTCCCACAAACAACACTTTCTACAGGTCAGCATGGGCAGCAGCCAATTGAGGAGCACAATTTCAATGCATAGCTGTGGGCATGCATCAGAAATTAAAATTGAATTTGCGGCCGTTCTGTGGAATGAAGCCTAGAGATTTTCTCTCTTGGATGGGGTGGTTTAATAGCTAAGGTAGATCTAGGTTTCTGTACTGTTGAACATTTTGTATCTAGAAATGATTGAAATTCTGCCATCAGAATTCTCCAGATCCAACATATTTACTTAAAGATATTGGACAGATTGGTCAGAGTTGGAGGAGAAGGAAAGACATGTGGAACCACAATGGAGAGAATAATCCATTTGTAGCTGCAAAAGGGATTCCCCAAAAGGGATTCCCCAGCTGATTGAGGCATGGCAGGAGAGGCAAGAAGGTGTGCAAGGCCCATGCATAAAGCCCCACAGCAATGCTTTCTGAATTTGCATCAGACATTTGCTGAGGCTGTTCAAGCTTCTCCCTGCTGCCATTTTATTTTCTCTTTTACTTGAAAATCAGAGGCAAGAATCTCAGGATTCTGCATATGTCACCAAATCCTGCAATACAACTCTTGAATGTAGGCAGAGAGGTCTGTCACGTCCCTTAATCATCCTGGAGATACAGGTGTCTAGTGCAATAAGCGACCATGATATTTTACAGAGTAACTTAAGGAGGGGGAGACAAGTCTCTGCCCTAAGACAATTACAGTCTAAATGCTTTTTCTGTATCTAGCAACTGAGTCCAATTTAGATTCCAAACAAGGTTTATTGCAACTCTTAACCAGGCCTAACAACTGCTGCGTCATTCAGTAATTCATAGCGTCAGATCCTGGCGACGGCGGGTGCAACGCATCTCGCTGTCCCCACGGCAAGGATTCTGTGAAGACTTACAATCCCCCGCCACGACTTGGCAACCCTAGTAATTCACCACAAATCTTCAAAAAGATAGCATTTATACAACAGGAATATTTTATAGTCTCAAAATGTCTAATCCACAATACCAGTACAAATAGCCATTCAGAGTAAGGCTGAATGAGTAAACAGCTGTAACATCAATCTTCAGTGTTCACCAAGGAATCACTTAAGGAACAGGGGGGGAAAGGGGACATAGGTATAATACAGTTAATGTTAGCAAAATTTTACTTCAACAAGAAGCTGGGTTTATTTACAGGTTCAATACTCACCCTGTGGTTTAAATCAAAATCTTGACTACAGCTGTTTCTTATGTGCATGTACCTTTAAACCATGTGTTAACATACTGTTTAGAAACACACCTACTTTGGGTTAATTGTTGAGTACCATGTTTCCTTTAAATGTTAAGAGGTTTCTTTATTTGCCATGCATTTGAATTGATTTGAATTTGTCCGCTGTATGCCAAGTTCTGAATATTGTTTAAGCCTGGATTTGGAAGCAAGTGGTGATCGTGTCTCTATTTTTTTGTTTATGTTGGGTGTGTTTCACAGACTTGTAGTTTTAAAGAAAATGTAAAAATGTATATGTAAATTTAAGATCATAAGGTTCCACTTTTTGAAGGAGCTTGTGGGCAGAATGCGATAAGCCGCAGCTAGCCATCGCATGAAAGGGAACTACAGGAAGCTTTGACTGGAATCCTTTATCTCCTGTTCCTTAAGTGATTCCTTGGTGAACACTGAAGATTGATGTTACAGCTGTTTACTCATTCAGCCTTACTCTGAATGGCTATTTGTACTGGTATTGTGGATTAGACATTTTGAGACTATAAAATATTCCTGTTGTATAAATGCTATCTTTTTGAAGATTTTTGGCAAATTATTTTGTACACAGTTTTCTTCTTATTGCCCTTCTTCACTGTGTATCTCCAATTTGTTGTATTTTGGCATCATTCAATAAGGCAGCCTAGGCCCGGGCCAGAACTCCACACTTCTAACTTCCAGTTTTCTGTCCTAAACTACTACATCTCCCAGTAGGCTTTGTTGCTTATAGCCACTGCTGCATTGAAGAGCACCATGGTTTTCCTAGTGGGATAGACAACAAATGGAAAGAATACAAAGGAAGAAAGTGAGGATAATTAGGGGTAAATTTGAGCAATCAGCGGACATGCTGGAAATTCAGCTTCTACTTTCACAGTGAACACTGCTAAGTCAAAATGGAACTTTTCATAAATCCTTCTGCCCCACAAAAGTAAGGTTGCCACCCTTCAGGTGTAGGGTTGCCAAGTGTAAAAAGCTTACCGTCGGGGGAGCATTGCGGGGATCTGGGAGCTCTTCTCCGACGCGCCAGGAAGTGATGTGTGACATTGAGCACATTTGGGGCGTGGCCCCCATCATCGGAGGGAAAACCATAGAGTTTTCCCTCCGACAATCGGGGCCACGCCCCCAATGTGCTCAAAGTGGTTCGGGGGGCGGGGTTCCCCCGGGGCCTGATTCCGCGGTGGCCAATATCAGGCCTCCAAAGCGGGGGTTTACCCGCCACCCGCCCCCACTTGGCAGCCCTATTCAGGTGGGGCCTGGAGATCTGGAATTACAAGTAATCTCCAGACAACAGAAATGGCTGTTTTGGAGGGCAGACTCTATGGCATTATACCCCGATGGGGTCTTTCCCCTTCCCACAAACTACCCTTTGCTCCCCCAAACCTGCCCTCCCCAGGTTCCATCATCAAATCTCCAGGAATTTTCCAACCTGTCGTTGGAAGCACTGCATAAAAGAAGCGCTCTCTATGCTTTGTCAGTCCTTTGCAGAATATTGTGAAAAATCAGTGTGGAAGCAGCCCAAGACTTGCTCCTTCTTGCTCTCCCTTTCAGAGATCTCTGTCATCACCCAATAGCCAAATCTATGTGTCTGTATGTCACCATGAAACAATTGTACTTGCTACATGATCCAATTGGTTGGGATAACATGTGCAGAGGCAGGCTGGAGCAGTGAATAGCCACTAAAAAAACCCTTAGGGTAGACTTTCATGCTGAAAATTTGTGTATTCGAAATGCAGCACAGCACCAATGATCAGCTCCATAATATGTTGGACAGGTACATATGTTCATTTCACCTTATGTGAACAGCCACAACTGGCCATGCCTTCTACCAGCACTTTCTTAAATATCATGTTTTCAGTTCACACCAGTGTTCCCTCTAAGCTGAGTTGGTGTGAGCTAGCTCACAGTTTTTTAGCTTCCAGCTCACACATTGCTGTCTTAGCTCAGGAAAGAGGGCTCCAGAGCAAACTGATTTATTCAGTAGCCAAAGCACTTGCTCACAACTTTAATGTCAGTAGCTCACAAAGTAGAATTTTTGCTCACAAGATTCTACAGCTTAGAGAGAACATTGGTTCACAAATCACAAGGGCTTTGCATGGTGAACATACAGCACATTTGTTATTTCTATAATGTGAGAAACAAGTGTTTCAGACCTGCAGTGCAAAGTCCAAGTCGAAGGTAAAACAATAGGGGTAAGAGGTAATCGAAGTCTGATACTCACCCAGCTCCCCTTTTGTTATCCTGTCAGTTGGAACACTCGGCCTTTTAATCTGCTCTTTCCACATTTGCCTAATCTCTAATTTCTCTTTTCTCTTCCTTCCAGTCATTCTTATTCATTGCCAAAGTTGCAAAAATGGGCAGCATGCCCTCAGGGAGGGAGGGAGAGAGAGAGAGGAAGCAAAGTCAGGTGCACGTGGACATGAGCCAGAGACCAGACAAAACTTAAAAGTATGAAGAAGTCGACAATGTGAAACATTTTTTAATTTCCAGGTTGTAAGGAACATTTTTGGAGTGTGACACTTGGTCATATAGCAACAGCTTTGACTTGAGGTTCTGTAATTCTAGGGCACTGATGGATAGTAGCACAATCCTGAAAGCACTCTGTGAGTATAAACCATGTGCAAGTCAATTATACTAGTGGTACTAGTTGGGCAGTTTGAGGATCCAAAGTGTGGTTGTAGCAGCCTTGGAATCTCTTAGATGACGGAATCCATTGGAAGATGGCTAAGAGGACGGGAAGGAGCTGTTTTTGGAAGAATGATCATCATCCTCTATGCTCTCAATGTAAAATGTAATAGGGTGTTTTTCTGGGACAAGGGCACTGTTCTTACTAGGCAGCTACGCCACATACCATCGACCATTTTGTCTTTGCTTCTTTGTATTCTGTTCTAATTCATGGACTATATATTGTCAGTTAACACTGCCATGCCATGTGTGGAGAGTGATCCTGTTTTCTGGTACACTAATGATGTCTCCTGTCTGGGTTGTTATCTGTGTATGCTTTTCTGATCTTGGGCTTCCAGCTGCTACTGACCTGCTGGGAACGAATGACTCACTTTTCTCCCCCGCGTGCGGAGCCATGCACAATGCTTATTGTCTTATGCTTGTAATGGGGGGTGCTTTGAAACTACTATAACTTTGGGCGCCCTGCTGCTTTGGGTCATTCCTGACAAAAAACATTCAAGTGTCCTAGTTATGAACTTCCAATAAACAATACTTCTTATGAAGTGCTGTCTGGTGTGATCTGACTATAGAACCTGACAGATTGTCAGGAATCATCTTCCCCTCGAACCGTATCTCTCTTAACTGAGATGAGCGACGGTGAGGAAGAAACGGTCCCGGTGACAACCAAGGGAACTGTGCCGACGACTACAGCCCCCCCCCCCCCGATGTTGCCGAGCACCCTACTCCAGGACCTGGGTGATGAGTCGGATGTCTTCCCCCTGGGGCCAGTGGGGGGGAACAAGGCCACTTGTGACTACGACCCTCCGTGGGCCCCGATGGGGCAAGTTCAAAGGAAAACACCCAGGAGACATGGATGCTTACTCCGGGGCCACACCAAGGGAGCCGCTATGACCAGCCTCAAGGGCCGCGGCCCCAAGAGGGGGGAGAGCCAGTGTATCGCGGGCCGGGCAAAGACAAGGATTTCGTGGGCCTCCGTTTGGAATTACTGGAAAGGTCCTATGGAGACATGATGAAACGAGTGGAAGAATCGCTTCTAAGCATCCCACAGATTGCAGCCGAGGTAGTGCAGCATGAAATCCATCTCCAGCAATGGCAGCAA